CACACACACACAACACACACACACCACACACACACCACACACACAACACACACACAACACACACACAACACACAACACACACACCACACAACACACACACCACACACACACACACACAACACACACACCACACAACACACACACCACACACACACCACAACACACACACCACCACACCCACACTACACACACACACCCACACACTACACCCCCACACACCCACACACACACACACCACACACACACACACACACACACACACACACACACACACACACACACACACACACACACACACACACACACACACACACACACGCGAAACTGCTCTGCGAGACGCGCGGGTTTGAGACGATGTGGCGGCGCATGCCCAGCCGCGTCAACGGTTGGAATCGCTACCCAAAAGACTTTTCTAAATGGGCTTCCCCTTCTAACTTCTCTATATTTATTCTCTTCTGTCATACTTGAACGGGGAGCGGGGGGTTGCGGCGTTGGCTGGCCTCAGCAACAAAACTGACCATCCAAGCGAGGCAGGTCCTCTGGACCCGCTGACTAGGCTGGCGTGGAAGAATCCAAGCTGCGGAGCTTGTCCAACAAATTCTGCTTCTGCTCACTGGATGCCTCCTTCTTGTTATCCTTCGGCTTGTTGTTGGCATCCTTTCCCTTCTCGTTGTCCTTCTCCTTGTCCTTCTGGTTCTCTTTCGCCTCGGCGTCCTGCTCCTTCTTGTCCTTCGCATTTGTGTTTGCTTTGGCCTTGGCTTTCGGCGCTGCACTGATCCGCATGGACTCCGGAAGTGCATCTCTGAGGCCCTGCTCGAAGAGGGGGTCGCTGGGGTGCTGCATTGCCCGGAACACCTGGTTGGCCAACTGCTTTTCCAGCAACTCCTTGTGTTCTGGTGTGTGGCATAGCCCGAAGTAACTCTTCCGCAAACGGATAGCTGTCATGGGCAGCGGTGAGGTCCACCCAACCAGCCCCCGAGAAAGAGTGATGCAACTCTTCGTAGAATTCTGTCGGGAGCCCATGCCAGCAAAAGGGAACCATGCTGGAGGGCTTCGGCCCGGGATCCACTTCCGGCCCCGGGTCGCCATCCACAGTTCCCCCCACGGCGATCAGCGCCTTGCCCAGGAGGTCCGACTTGCTGGCGTGCTTCACCTTCCAGAGGCTTTCTGGCGGCGTCCTCTCGAAGGGGCCGAGGCAATCAGACGCCGTGCTTCCCGGCACGTGCAGGTGATCTTTCGCCACGACCTCGAGCGTCTTCTGGCTGAAGACGTTCATACTCAGCATGGTGGACAACGTAGCAATGCCCTTGACCCGGGCTTTCACCTGTCGCTCGGACTGCTCCGTTGTCAACACGTACAACTGCGTCTTGACCTTCGGAATTACCTTGCCGCCGTCGTCCACAAAGGCCTTCGAGGCATTGCCTGCACTGCCCAGGTTCCTGTCGATGAAAAAGAAGGCGGCCTTCTCCGGGATCTGTGGCAAAACGTTCTGCGCCGGCTGGAGCCCCTCCAAGGCTCCCTTGATGCATCTTTTCAAGTGCTCATCCCTTAAGGGCGGCGGTCTCAAGTGCGGCCTGGACGATGCTTCTCCAGCTCTCGTGACATCGTACAGGACAAGCACGTACTCCTGCTTCCCAGTGACCTTCTGGGAAAGCGGGTCCGCCCGCAGCAGCTGAGCGACCCCGGAGACGCTGCCAGGGTCACCGTGCAAATTCACATACCTGTCCACCAAGTTCTTTGCATAGGTGACCCACTGAGCCAGCACGCCTTCCTTGTCGTCCATCTTCTTTGCCGAGATACCAGGAAGCATCATCCCGCCATCCTCCTCGTCACTCAAGTCAATGTCCTCCACGTCGATGCCCTTCTTCTCCATGTCTGGCGCTGGCCGGCCATCGCCCTCCGCCTCCAGCGCGGCAACGAACTCATCCATCTTCTCCTTCACGGGGGAGCGAGTGAGGGCCTCCTCCATGCTGTGCCCGCCATTCTTGGCCTGCTTGATCACTTCGTCGTACTTGTTGTCGAAGACGAGCTCCTGGACAGGTCTCACTCACAGTCAGGCTTACAGGGGTTTGTGTAATGGCGGTGCCGTTACATTTATTTCCGCTCCTCAAAGAGTTTGACGCCTTTCTGCGCCGAGTCAGGCAAAGTCCCCACCCAGGACGCGCTGCCCTTGAACATTGCTTTCCTGTACTCCTCGGGGCTTTTCTCCCACGCGTCCATGCGCTTCACGGCCACCTCGCTGACCTTCAAGTCACGTGCCTGCAATGCAGCATAGGACGAGCAACAACGTAGACTCACCGTGAATCAATAATTTTTAAAAGCCGGAAATTTGCCTTCTTGATCATGCACCACGCGATCTCCTTCTTGCACATGCACAAGTCAACGATGCCCCTGCCGCCGGGCTGACCCTTTCCTGAAAGTTTCCGGACGCTCAGCTCGCGCGGAATGGTCCCGCCGTACTGGACCATGTCCGCAATCAGCATGACGGTCCAGTGGATCATGTCTTTCGAGGATGCCCTCTTCACGATGGCCTGCCACGCGCGCAGAGTAACTTTCCCGAACAATGCAACTCGGAACTGTCCACGTTTTGAAAGAAGACAACAGGCACAACAGGATACCGCAAATATAAGCAGGCTTTACAACCATTATATGATACACATATTTTTTCCTGTATCCAGAAAATGTACATGTATTCTGGTAATTACTGACTGCGAAAAGATAGCTCAGTGCTTAGCTAGGTGCTTGGCCCGTGGAGCTAATTTGATTCGCTAATTCACGTTTTAGCTAGACCTAATCAGCTAGCTACGTCTGTAGCTATGCGGTTAACACCGATTTCCTCGCTGCTTCGCTACGTACTTTGCCAGTTCGCTGAGAGCTTAGCTAACTGATTAGCGGAAACTCGTTGCTAGCCACTCCGCAAAACACTTACTTCATTACTCAGAACTCACCAAGTCGTGTTAGTTAATACTTCCCCTTCACCGACTCCTTCATGTATCTTGTCCACCGCCTATCTATAAAGAAGGGGAGCCTCCAGCTGGTAGATGCTGTCAAACACCGGGCCATTCTTCCAGGCCTCCGTCTGCCTCAAAAACCGCTCCATGTCGTTCTCTGTCAGAAGCCGGTTGTACACGGTCACCGCCGCGTCGATGAGGCCAACCTTGATGGCTTCCTCCTTGTTGCGGCCGCTCTCAGAGACCTTGACGTTGTCCCTCCACGCGGTCTCCAGCGCTTCAGCACCCATCGTCTTGCCGCCATGCAGCTTCTCCAACATGGCCTTCGTCTCCATGATGGCCAATATCTTTTCGATTGTGCTCAATTTGGCCGTCTCACCGATCTCCATCATGTCCTCGCGGCATTGGTGCGAGGCCCACAACCGCTTCTCCATGCTGTCGACGTACTTCACTTCCATGGATGCGCACAAGAAGAGATCCCGCCATTTCTGCAAGTCCTCTTCCCCTAGGCTCGCCTTGATGTCTCTGGCGGCTGCCACCACCGGAGCCCATGCGAACTCAAGCGGGCTGAGCGCCTGTCTCATTGTTGTTACACTCTGTCCGTATCTGTAGTCACAGCTTCCAAATCATATCAAACATTTTACAAACGCCGTGCCTCCACGTGGCCTTTCATGTCATCCGGAAAGTTCCCCGACGAGATGCAACTCTTGATCTGATACGGGAGCTTCCTCTCAGGGGCCTGGAAGAAGTGCTTCACGACATCCTCCAACTTGTGTAGGGCTACGGAAACCTTGATCGGCGACTGCACGAAGTCCAGCCAGAACAAGTTGTAGCCAGCCTGGAAAATCATTGCGATGCTCAAATTGTGATGTTACCAGAGGGTCTCGTTGCGTCCACAACGTTTTCTTCTAAGGCTGCTACAGCTTGAAGTACTCTGCTTCCTACCGGTTCTTTTCTACTCTTAGCTACATTGGCAGACGCTGCACTCAGACATTCTCTATTATTCTTCAAAACACTACTCTTGAGGTCAGGTACTGTCTATTGAAATCTTCCGCACCTACCCAACTTGATGTAGTTTCCAATGCCCAGTCTAAGCTGTCACCGGCCTCCATGAAGGTCTCTTATTCTTTAAACGCTCCTCTTGCATTCAGCTACTGTCTTACTTCAAGTCTTCCGCAGCTACCCAGCTTGATGTAGTTACCAATGCCCGTCCTCTAAGCTGTCGCCTCCATTCTCGGTCATGGCTTGCCATGACTCGCGCTTGTACGGCTCCATGCTCACGAAGCTTGGGTTGCGTCCTGGCAGGTCCTGGAAAAGCGGGTGGCCAAGGACGACGGCTTTACTCTCCAGGAAGAGCTCCAAGGCAGGGGACGGAGGGACTCGGTGATCGATCTCCATGGGCAGAGGTGGCATTTCACCGTCACCCGCAGCAGGCTCTGCCGCGTCCACGGGCAGGGCTGCAGCCTTAGCCTTAGCCTTGGCCTCAGACTTAGGTCTGCCCTTCGCTTTGGCTTTGGGCGCGCTGTTCGGCGAGGCTGGCTCCGCCCGCGACTTACGCTTGGTCATGGCGTGAGTGCACTTGCTTTCAATTGGGCAGCTTGCTCCGTGCTTTCGGATATAATCATAACCACTGCTTGCTCAAACCGCAGCACGCTGGTCCTGGCTGATGATCGCACTGCTTAGGCTTAGTCCCCCACAGCAACAGCAACGGTAGCCATGCCTCGTCGGCCGGCCCGCGAGATTCCGCGCCGCCTGGTCGGAAAGCAAACAGTGAAGCGCAAAGGCAAAGCAGACCCGCTTCTAGGTGACAGCTGGCAGGAATGGTTGGGAATCATCAAAGACCATGGACCTATGTGGCTCTACGCCGCAACTATCATCTCTCACGCCTGCTGCCTCCGCATTACCGAGACCCTCATGTTGACAGCGGAGAGCTTTGATTGGTACCGCAACGTGGTTGTCGTCCCACCCCTCAAGGGTCAAGAGGAAACGGAGAAGGTAATGCCCTCCCGCGCAGTGACGTTGTTCAACGACTGGTGGCGCAACGGCGGCCTCCGAGTGTCTCGCATGAAGAAGCAAGGAAATCGCGGCATTGTTCCAGTGGAGGAGACCTGGACATGGCCAGCGCAGGGGTATCTTTTTCCTGCGACCCGTAAAGACTCCAAATTGAAGAGGAGAACCAAGGACTCAGGGACTTTCAAAGAGAGCTCCTCTTCGGATGTTCTTTAGCACTGTACCTAGCTAAACACATAATAAGCGTGCCCCGGCTCCAACAAGACCCTGTGTAAGCGTTTACCATGTCCTGGTCTTATTTGTTTGACATTCGTGCCCACACGATACGCACGGAGGACTCCGTGGCCAAGCAGATTGCCAAATTGCGCAAGAACATCACCAATGCTACGATCAAGAAGGAGAAAGTTCGGAGCCACAGCGCTCGGCACAGAAGTATAAACGACATGAAGGCTGCCGGAATTGATCACGAAGTTGGAAAACAGTATGCCAGAATCCGAGATGATGGCGTTTGGGCCGGCTATGGACGGCTCTCCGCCTTCCAGGCAGGAACGGCAATGCACAACAACCACGCGCTGCAAATGGCATGGGTCAATGCGATTCCTGGCCCTGGCAATTTGTGACACAAACGGCGCAGCACTCAACTGTGTCACGACAAGTGGCCTGGTCGTGGAGAGCGTTCCACGTGAATTCACCTGCAGCAGCAGCAGCAACATGCGGCAGCTGCTTGGACGGACTGTGAGTGATGCACTGCTCTGTAGAGAGAACATGCAGCGCATACTGACACGGCATCGGTTTCACCAACTTTTGTTCGTCAAACGCTTGCATACAAAGCGTGCTTCTTGTACCGGTTGCACTCCCAAGGCGTAAAATCTAATTAGTTGCAGAAGCTGTTCCGTGGCTCGACCGTTTCTGATATCGAAAGAAATATGATGGGGTTCCAACTTAAAACATTGGGGTTTCGGATTGAATTCTGCTGCTGCTCCGAGGTCGAGCCTTGCAACGCCCAGCTCCTGCTCTCCTACACCGCGCCACGCTGTGCGGGGCTCAAGAATAACCGTAGAAACTTTGCAAAGCTGCTGCAAGCACTCGCGCGTAAACTGTACCAGTGAACGCATTGCCACACAGCGCTCCCATTTGGTTGTCGGAAATGCACCAGTTCAGCCCTGAAGACGGTAGCCCCTGGAAGCGCAGGAGCTCCGCAGCCGACAGTTGCCGACCGTGGCTCAAGGACCAGAAGGCCAGTTTGTTCCCTCTGCTTCTTGTGATGGTCGGGCAGTGGTCGAAGTGCATGTTGAGGGATGTGCCAGCAACATCAACAATGGGCGTGTAGCTGATCGGTGGCCGGCGCTGCGCTTCTGCCTTCACCATCACGTTCTTCATGGCTTCGAGTATGTTCTTCCGCGCTGTCTTCTGGGTCACATCGTCCAACGGAAAATCAGCCAAGCTGGCTAGCTTCTTCCGGCTTCCAAGCAAGCTTTCCACGGAACAACGCGGGATGCTGCCAGGCCAACGCAACGTGCGATCACGACCGCACCGGCGCACGGCCACTATGTAAACCCTTTCACGGTGCTGTGGCAGGCCACCAACCTCTAGGGTGTCCAACAACTTCCAGAACGTATCATACGCTCTGGAGCCGTCGCTGGGCTCAACAATCCTCCGGAGCAACTCCAGGACTTCCAGCATCACAGCCGCGTGCGTCGTGAGAAGCCCCTTCACATTCTCCAGCACTATGATGTTGGGGAGGTTCTTCGCGCAATAGCTGATGACGTAGGCCACCAGGAGCCCTCGAGGATCGCCGAGGGCTTGGTTCAAGCCCGCCACTGAAAACGTCTGGCAGGGGAAACCCCCTGACAGGACGTCTACCCTTGGGGCATCCCTCAGGAATTCTGTAGCCGTGACGTCATTGAAGCTCAAACAGTCCAGGTTCCCTTGCAGGAATCGTCTTGCCGCCGGCTCCTTCTCCACCCAGAACTTGCTGGAGAGCCACCAATCGGACAGGTACTCCGAGGTCTTGGCCATCCAATGGTCGGTCCCGAAGCCAGCAAAGCAAGACCCCATGCTTATGTTCGTCCGCGGCGAGTGTGCGACTCGCGGCAGCGAACTCGCAAGCTCCGGTCGGGCTTCCGTGCCTAACTCTGACACCAACCGTGTCAAGCTCGCAATTGCGCAGGTCTGCCGACTTCTGGAGGAAGACTTGCTCGTCCGGGCCGCTGGCTTCTTCGCCACGACGGCCTTCTTTGTCGAGGCCTTCTTGACAGCCGCAGCCGGCCGTCCTCTCGCCTGCCGCCCGGCGTGCCTGGATACCATGACGGCTCACGGCCCCGAAAACTACTTTCAATTTGGTCGCCTTGACCTGCAACATGTCAACATAAAATCATGATTCTGGCTCGTACGGCCCGTGCTGGCCAGCAAACCCACAATGGAGCTCGGAGACGTCTCTGATCCCCGTAACAACCATTTGACCGGGCCCTCGGCCCCCACATTGATGCTTGTTTTTTCGGGTGTTGTTGGAAAACCCACCGCAAGGAAACTCGGAGACGTCTCTGAGTCTCGTAACCACAATGCTGGCCAGCAACACTGTTACACAGGGTCATGCCACGTCCCAAGACTCATCCTGAAGGCGCTGTTCCCCGGCCTCGTCCCAGAGCTCTGGCTCCAAGATTTCCGACCTGTTGGGTTTAGGGTTTAGGGTTTAGGGTTTAGGGTTTAGGGTTTGGGGTTTGGGGTTTGGGGTTTAGGGTTTAGGGTTTAGGGTTTAAGGTTTAGGGTTTAGGGTTTAGGGTTTAGTACATTAACTATGTCCAACAACAACTCACTCTGTTGCCTGCTGCCCCCTTACGCATCTCCCCAGCTGCCCCTTTTGGGCTGGCCTGCTTTGCAGGCTGAAAATCACCCTGCCCGTGGCTTGTGCCTTCCCTGTGTGATCATACATCAGTCACGTGTGTGTGGTACTCGTCATCAATCATCATACTACAAGCCACAAACACCCAAGGTAGTGTGCTTCACATCCATGCGTGCCAGCTTCGTGATAAAAGTCTCCCGGGTGAAAACGCAGTTGGAGCCCAGCTCTTGCACGAAACTTTCCTCCGGGGCAGCACACACGCTCAGATAATTTTCCAGATCATGCAGACATACTTCTCCAACGTGTCAAACTTGAGTATTTAGGAAACTTCGTTAAACTCTAGTTACAAACTGCCACGAGAGAGCTAAGTGATTAGCAAATCGCATTGCCCCACGTACCTATGGATCGCTAACTCTAGCTACGTTATCTGCAAAACACCTCATCATGCAGTAGCTAAGTGGTTACCTACGACCTACGTGGCTTACTTCTTCATTGTCGTGTAAACGATTTGATAAGTACTCTAAGTACTTAGGGTTTAAGGTTGAGGGTTTAGGGTTCAGGGTTCAGGGTTTAGGGTTTGGGGTTTGGGGTTTCGGGTTTCGGGTTTATGTGCACGTGTGTGTGTGTGTGTGTGTGTTTCCCTGTAATGTGTGTGTGTGTGTGTATCTGTGTCTGTGTGTGTGTGTGTGTCTCTGTCTCTGTCTCTGTCTCTGTCTCCGTCTCCGTCTCCGTCTTCGTCTCTGTCTGTGTCTCTGTCGGTGTCTGTGTTTCTGTCTGTGTCCGTGTCTGTGTCTGTCTGTGTCTGTCTGTGTCTCTGTGTGTGTGTGTGCGTGTTGTCTGCCAGACGCAGTCCTGCTCATCATCTGTGACGAAGGCAATCGCCTTGAGGCTGGCGTTCCGCTTCCCACGCTCGCGACAGAAGTCCTCCAGGTCCACGAACTTCCACTGTGAGCCTGCTTGGCCAACGCACGCGGCCATTGTTTGGTAAACGTCCAGCTGTTGGAAGCGAGCGCTGCACCAAACACGTCGCTTGGTTCCGAGTGCTGCTTTGAAAGCGACACAAACACCCCGCGGTTCGCCGCTGGGATTCCCGGCCACAGCATCTTGCATGTAAGTGGCATCAACAAGAAAACCGCCCAGCAAACAAGCAGCCCACGCGAGATTCTGAGTGGCCATATCTCCAATTCTTTCCAGAACAAACCAGTCTGCCTCGATCCAGCGACGAGTCAGCCGTACCCGCTTCATGTTCACGGCCTCTCTTCCCAAATTGTCTGAGATGCCCGGCTGGAAGTAGCACTTTTGACCGGCGCAGAGCCTCACAGCAGTGAAACTGCAGGTGTTGCGTCGCTTCTCTGCTTGCTCCGCACGCTCTTGCTGCAGCGTCAACGCGCGGGCCTTCCTTTTCTTTGCTTCTTCTGCCTGTCCTGGAGTGAAGTCCGGCTGCTTCAATTGGCCGCCGAGGATGCACGCATGAAACGCGTCCTCTTGTTTCCTCAGATGGCAAGGGTGGGGTGCTGCAATAATAATGAAACCATGGGTGCGTCCACGTCGTGGACGTGATTTTTCATTTTTATGCTAAGCTTTCACTCTGCCTGCGAAACAGTCAAACTCACTGCTGTGTCCCCAAGCGTCTCTGCCAGAAAGTCTAGCTCATTGTTCATCTTCTCGCTCCAAACAGCAGCAGCCCCCGGCGCAGCATCGTACCCGACTTGCTGGATAGACCGGATCTTGTGATGCCTGGCATGGTGAGTCACCGCAGCACGGGCTCGCTTGAAAAAACCACCCAAGGTCTTGCTTCTTTTCCCTTTGCTTCTCTCTTTGCCCTTGTCCTGGCGCGCTGCTCGCTGGATGGCCCGGGGCCGCCCGTAGACGGTCCTCCACACATCACGAGCCACTGCGATCGTTTTGGCGTCAGCTGCCTGTCCCGGCGGTGAAGTCGCGATCGTAATCTCATTTACCTCGCACTGTAGACTGAGATGCTTGTTCCGTCGCTTCGGCCAAAGCCAATCTTGGACGCTGTGCGTGACTTCGACGCACGACGTCGTGCACCCTGTGAAAGCTCCCAGCTGCGCCACTGCCCGGAACAACTCCGGTGCCAAGGACTCCATGCTACGGCCCTTTGCACGGGCCTCCTGAAGCATGACGTGTCGCCACGCGTCGAAGCTGCTGCAGCTTGCCTGTGACCGGTAATACGACACGGCCTTTGTCAGGAAGTGCTGGTACTTTGATCGCAATGCAGACGCGTCCACAGAGCAAAACATTGCCACGCGCTCCAACTTCGATGCCACATCGCCTACCAGGCTTCTCTCGCGCAAAGCAAAGATTCCGAAGCACTGCAATGGCTCGAAGGAAGGGAATTCAGCTCGCACAGTCTGCACAGCCAAAACGACGAACGCCTGCATTCGGGCCAAGCACCGCTGCCTCGTAGCAGCCGCTACGAAGCCAGGACCGCCCACAGTCAGGGGCCCGGACCCCCACTTCTGGCCTGGAATCCTGACGATGTGCGTCTTGGCGAGGAGTCGAAGGGCATGACCCGTGAAGGAGTCTTCCAACTCCAGGATGTGCTTCTTGTTGAAGGCCCAATCCAACTTTTGACAGAACAAGTGCAGCTGTTCCCCCATCAAGGCAACATCAAAGGTTGCTCTGTCAAAAAATCGAAGCAAACACATGACCATGTCTCCTGCGTCCACCATGAGGGCAGTTTGCAGAATATTTTCGGCCCCGGCCTTCCCAACCAGAAACGACAAGAACGACGCAGCGTCCTTGCCATAGTCGTCCCCTGCGCGCAGACTCTGCACTTGCATGGCCGTGGCGAGCGCAGCCTCGAAACTAAGCAGAAAATGCGCCAAAGGCTTCACCTGACTGTCGAAGCGGTGGGCTGCGTACGAGAGGCTGTGAGACGTCCCTGTGTTGGAGACGTGCTTCTGTTTCTTTAGATTCGCCTGAAACAGCGACTGCAACTCCGGGCTGTGGTTCAGATGCTTCAAAAAAGCAGACCCAGATGTGACCAGTGTCTCCATGATCTCCGTCAGGCGATCGTCTGTTCGCCACACACGCTGTATGATCCTCATGGCGGAACCATCAGCATGAATGGCACTTTGAAAACAAACATTATTTACTCCACATCTTCATTTACCTCGCCAAGTCTCCTTCGCGCAGAATGCGTGTGATCTTTGATCCAGGCCACAGCATTGGGAAAAAGTGGATCCGGGTTCGTGCCCAAATGGTTGACGACCTCCTGGCCTGCCAGAATGATGACTTTGCAGGCATCCGTGTTGAAAGCCGAATGCTTCTCACGCAGCAGATTGTACAACTCCCTGTCAAACAGCTCTGGAGCTCTCTTGGCTTTGGGGGGAGACGCCAGTGGCGTGCAGAAGTTCTTCAAGACCTGGTCCACAAGCCGCACGTAGCCCTCCACAGGGTTGTATTCTGCTGCCTGCTGCCATGCATGCCCAAAAGTGCTCTTGATGATCTCGAGGTCTCGGTCCACTGCCGTGAATGCATCGTGAACCGCTTGTTCTTGCCATCCGCATGCGTGACAATCGTCACGCAGGACCTGAGAGCCGATCGCAGTTGCTCCCGAAGTGCTTCTCCAAGACAGTACTGGAGGCACGCTGCTTTCTTACAGAAGCCTGTCTTGCGCAAGCTGATTCCACTCCGTCGCATATCCAGCATTCTCTGAAAATCTGCAAAGGAAGGAGCATCCCTGGAATCCACCACATCATCAAGCTTCGAAGTACAGCACTCGCAGCCCACCAACCGCGCCAAGCTTCGCAGGTGAACCTCTGTGGCTTGGTGCTTTCGGAACCTGTCCAAGCTGATCTGGCGAGGCGACGTCAGAAGGCACCGCCCGAACTCAGTCTTCTGCTCCGCCAAAAAACAGATCTTGCAGCCCAAGCCGTTGCTGGCAATCATCAGCCAGCTTCCTAAAGCTGGCTGCTTCGGGCATACGAGAAACTCTTGCTTCCACTTCTCAGCATTTCTCGGCCATGTTTTTGACAGAGACATGAATCTCGATGAAGCATAGACTTCCTATTCAATAAACATAACACATGTCCACTTGCTACGAACCCTCCATGGTACGTAAACATGCCGACCTAGTGGCAAAGACTATTTCTTTTGTCATCATCCACCCATGTCCAACACTCGTGAAGACACTCGCTGCGGCGCTGCGCATGATCCCTTCTTTCAACTTTCAAACGCAACCCTCTCCACGCTGCCCTGTCCGAGCCTTCGGGTCTCCCAACTCGTAAACAGCACCTGGATGCAGAGGAGATCACAGAGGCAAACACGACAACATGGAAGCGACTGGGGTGCGATTGCTACTTGGACCAAACACCTCTGAACGCTCAGTCCGCGGCCCAGATGCACACCGTCGGTAGTCTCGCTTCCTGGGCCGAAGGTGTTTTGGCAAAAGCTTGGACTCAATTTCAATGCTCACATGAAAGTCGGCTGCTGTGGCATGGCTGACACTGGGACTGTTCATTTTCAAGTCCGCGGTGCAGGGTCTTCGCGTGACAGCACAACAAAATCAAAAAGGCGAAAATTAATTAGTGGCGGTGCCGGGACGTCTTCTGCCGCTTGCCACGGTGGTCCTGGTAGTAGTCCTCATCCGTGTCCCAGCCGCGCCCATGCACTGCCTTCAACGACCGACATACACGTACAAACACATGCATGCGTTTGGGCGATAGTGAACA